ATGTTGTCTATCCAGTGTTTTTTGGGCCTTCTTCTTTGCCATATCCCATGCACTTCTCCAAGCAGTGCTATCTTTGGGTATCTGCTGTCATTCTCATGATATGACCGAAGTATCTCAACTGCTGTTGCCGCATCCTGTAGTTTACTTCCTTCTGTAGATGGAGATGTTTCTTAATGTCATCATTGCACAGCCGATCTCTTCATGGGACATCTAGAGTCCTCCTGAGACCTGCCATCTCAGACACATGCAGCCGCTGTTCTGAGGAGCGTTTCATTGTCCCGGTTTCAAAGTTGTAAAGAAGGCAGCTCAAAACAAGTGTCTCATATACTTGTAATTTTGTTGTTGTCCTTATGTCTCTTGCTGACCAAACCTTTTCTAATGCCGGGAAGGCATACCTCACTATCCCTGTCTGCCTCTTGATGTCTGAAATAGTTTCCTCCTTTGAACTGAGGTTTCCTCCCAGATAGACAAAGTTAACTGTTTTCTTGAGGTTCTGATTCTTTAGTACAATGTTAAAATCCTTGGGTGTCCTTCCCATGTGTTGAATCTCAGTCTTGTCAATGTTTGCTTTCATACCAAGGTTTTCACTGACTTCCACCACTCTATTTACCATGGCCTGCAGCTCATTTGAACTTTTAGCAAGCAGTGCTGTATCATTGGCAAAACACTAGTTATTGATTCGCACACCACCAACTGCACGCCTGTCTCCTCATCCTCCAGGGCTGTTGCTATTCTTAATTCCAGGAGAGTATTAAAGATCAGTGGTGAGAGGACGCATCCCTACAACCTTCCCACGATTGTCTGTTGAAATAGGAGTGGCGGGGCTGCGTCCCCAGCACCCTGGCTGCCTGCTAGCTCATGCCCGAAATAACAACACACAAATTGTATTCTTTTACACACTGCTTGCCCATTATATCTAGCCTCTTCTTGGCTAACTCTCGCACCTGGACTAGCCCATTTCTAATAATGTGTGTAAGCACCCCAAGGTGCGCTTATCGGGAAGATTCTAGCCTACATCCATCCTGAGTCAGAGCTTCATCGCGTATGTCTCTGAGAGCAGAGCTATCTCGCGTCTGTCTGAAGAGTCTTACCTCGCTTCCTCTTCCTCCTGTTTACTCCTCCCACCTATGTTTTAACCTATCAGGGCGAGCAGTTTCTTTATTTAATTAACCAATGAAATCAACAGATTGATATATGACACTCCCACATCAATTGTCTTAAACTGTCACTTAGTTCTCCACAGACTTTGAATGGTGCAAAGGTATCTTGATAGGCATTTTCTAGTATTCTTATGATTTTTTTTCTGGGTACATGTAGAACCTCATTGTTTCCCAACGTCCTTTCCTCCAAAGGCTATCTAATGCACCTGAAATCAATGTAACAGACATATAAGTCTTTTCCAAATTCTTTGTATTTTTCTGCCAGTTGCCTCAAAGTGAAGATCTACCTATTGTGCTCCTGTTAGCTCAAAATTCGCACTGAGCGTCTGCTAGGACTTCCTGTTCTGCCCTTGATTCTTTGCGGGAAAATAGCGATCTTGCTGCTATGGCACAACAAACTATTGCCCCTGTAATCTGAGTGGTCCAGTTTGTTTTTCTTCTTGTGGATGGGAATTATGGCTGAGTGCTTCCATTCTGTGGGAATCACTTCGTGTTCCCATAGCTCTCTGAAGAGTCTGAGAAGCATCTTGGCCCCTGAACCTATTGTAGCCACCTCCTGCTCCTCCACCATGATATTATCCACTTCTGAGGGTTTTCTGCATTTTGCTCTCTTAATAGCTTCCTTTATCTAGCTCCTGACAGTATTTAACATTTCCTCACCATCTCTGGTGTTCGAGTGGCCGCCGAAGTGTTTCTTGTTGTAGTCTACATTGACAGCATTAGGGTCATTGCATAGGGTGTCAAAGTATTGTCTCCACCTTTGCTTTACTCTCCCTGTTCTGTTAATAAATGACCTTGCTCATCTTTAATCACCCAAATCTGAGGAGCATATCTGGCAGCTGTCTATGTAATAGTTTCACAGACAAGATATGTTTTATCAAGGAGTGTAGCCTCTTCAACCTCTTTGCATACACCTTGTATATACAGCTCTCCATCCTTCTTCGCTCTTCTTTCACCTCCCTGCACAGATAGTTGTGATGTTTTGCTGCCTGTGGATTGCCTCTTCGTTTGCTCTTTAGCTTCCTTCTTTCTTCTGCCAGGTTGATCGTCTCTGCAGTAAGTCATTCTACTGGTGTTGCCCTTTTTACATAACCAAGCATCTCCTTTGAAGCTTCCTGTATAGCTCTTTTGATCTTCTCCCATTCACTTTCTATATTTGTAAAGATTTTTTAATAACTTCACTCACCTTTTCTTCAGCGGTTCTCCTATACTCTCTCTGTACTGCTGGGTTCATTGGTTGTTTACAATCAGTCTTCTGATTCTTCTTGCCTGGTGTGCCACTCCTAAGTTGCATTTGAGTGTTGGCCATAGCAAGTTGGTGATCTGACCCTAAGTCAGCACGAAGAAATGGTCAGCTGTTTTGGATGCTAGTAAGAGTTTCCTGCTGCCCAGAATGTAGTCAGCTTGACTGGATGTGCCTTTGTCAGGGGATTCCCATGTTCAGCATGGTTTGGCCTGCTTGAATTCTGTGTTGGATGTGTAGAAATCATTTTCATAGCAGAGGTCAAGCAGTTGTTCTCCGCTGTCATTCCTTTGTCTGAATCCGTATGTTCCCATGACCCTTTAGTCCATTCTTTTTCTGAATCCTACTCTTGTATTGAAGTTACCCATCATGATTAGTAAGTCATTCTTATGTATCCTGTTGCCCTCATTCTGTAGATCTGTGTAGAAACTGTTGACGAATCCTCTTCTGCTTCCACTGTTGGTGCATATACCTGTATGATAGTTACTGGCTGTGTCATGTGAACCGTGTTTGAAATCTGGCTGATAAAATTCAGTCATTTACAGGTCTGTACCCGAGCATGCATTTTTGGGCCAAACTGGACAGCACTAAAGATGGACCTGCTGCATGCTTTCCCTCTCGTCCTGAGTTTATAATCTTGTATCCGTTTACTACAAGTTCTTGTGTTCCTGTCCAATGCATTTCTGTCAATCCAATGACATCCCATCTGATGTGCCTGAGCTCATGCATGAGCAAGCCAGTTCCCTGACTGTGTTTAGCATTCTCACGTCCCAGGTCCCTATTGTGGTGTGGTGACTGTTTTTGGCCTGAGGAAGTGCCTCTCCTGTCCATTTCTGTCATCTGCCCTCCCCACTTTTGTCTTTAAGAGAGAAAAATTACCTGTCCTGCGCTTACGACATGGAGGTACTGGGGCACTGTCAGATTCTGGGACTTTAAGCCAGGTGTTTCTGATGAACTTGTCCATACTGGGTCTCCCAGTAGCTACCTCCTCAATGGAGAGACTGGAAAAGAGCAGCTAGGTCCTCTGGAAACCTGGGTAATTTAGTATGTGGGTGGAAAGAGGTACAGCTGGTTGGTTAAAGGCTACTGTACAAAGAGGAAGAGACCTGGCCAGTCATCCTCATCAACTCAGATCATGAAAATGGACAATAATGCCTTCTGAGTGCTGGGACTAAATTACACCTGCCCCATGCTCCTTTGAGGAAGAAGATCTTGCCATATAGTCAGGGCTTGCCTGGAACTTGTGATCTCTGCTTGTGGTAGTATGGCAGGCATGCTAGGCTATACAACAATGTTTGGATAGAGGAATTACAAGCCTCATTTTGTGGATAAGGAAACTGAAAACTAATGATGGGGACAATTTGCTCAAGGTCAATCTGTGAAAGAAACTGATATGCTGGAATGTAGACTCAGGTCAGTACACCTCAAACTTTTAAAGCAGGACTACTAAGTTCAAAGGGCTCTGCTTACTATGCAGCCTATCCTGAGACATTATATGGAATTGTACTGTAACTTTTCTTCCAGAATGTACCCTTCTGTCACGCATCAAGAATATATGAATAACTTGTGTATGTATATCTATCAAAGGTATGCAAGTAACATTGCTAATGATATAATCCTGGCTTCAGGGTCCCTCTGGTCTTGGTGTTTCTGTCCCTAAAGTCTTGTCAGAAAACATGAAAAATGAGCCTATTAGCCATCTCCATAGCCCATGTTTACCCTCTTTTTCTGTGGGGCTATGCCGACAGCAGACTCCAAAGTCCTGTCCCCATTCTCCTTATTTGTTGACACTTTGCTGCTGTCCCATCTGTTGGAAAAGTGGTAAAGCACACACCATCATTGTTCTACACAGTACTGACTTTGGCACAAAATTCTTGTGAAAATACTTTCCTTAAACCCAAAGGAAAGAATATATAAAATAAGTCTTCTAAGCGTACTTTAGTAGTTTTCCATGTTTTGAGAGGTTTTGTACATTCTACATAGACAACTACTGGCAAACTAGACTGCTAACCTCGGGGACAACAGGAAACCATGAAACAAGTACTCTCTAGCCACTGAGTCCTCCAGCGTAATGTCTGACAGGATGTTCTGAGGTAACTCACAGTGGTTGAAACAGACATACAAGCAATGTCACAAGAAACATGAAAAGGTTATGATACTAGGGATTAAAATTAAAATGTGAAAGAGGCTCAAGGCATTTTCAAATGAGATGTACAGACAAGAGACTAAAAACCAGCACACAGGACTGAGGTGTGTAGCTCAGTGGCACAGCACTTACCATGCATAAAGCCTAAGGTCAGACCCTCAGAACAAGACGAAAACAGCAGCGATCAGAAAGAGTGGCGTTCTCTTACATAGAGGAGGTCTCCGGGTGGACAGACGGTAAGGGTTCCTACAGAGCTCTCATTCCCTCCAAGTCTTCACAAAGACAGGACGTAAGGAGTGGCTTGCAATAACCAAGAGATGAGCCACTCAGCCCAGAAGAAACCATTGTGCTGCCAATGGATGAACCATGCTTGCAATTCATGGGTTCCAACAGCATCTGAACTTCTGTCAAGCTATGCTAGTAATACTTTCTACTTTGGTCAATAATTTACCTTCAAAGGTTGATCTCTTCTGATTATAGCCAGTTCAATGTTCTTTCCACCAGACTGGACAACCTAGTGTAGAACAAAGACGCATAAGAACTTCTTTAGCTGGCTCGGGTAGAGCTCTGTAGTAGTGTGTGTGCCTGGTGTGTGTGTGGTACTGGTTTGATTCTTCGCCACTATACATAAACGACAACAACCTATCTCTGAAAATTGTGTGTTTAATGAACAAAACAGGATAAGGAAACCAAAAGCATATTCTCAGAACATACCTTACAAGATTACTTACTTCTAGCAAAGCTTTTATTGCTAGTTTGATAGCTTCACTGTCATTAGAAATAGCCTCTTCTGTGTAATTCTTTTCTAGAAATTCCCGAACAGTTTTAGCACTCCGGCCTATTGCATTTGCCTTGAAAAATAAATTGGGTTTGTTGTTATCATGTATGTTCGGGCTTTCGGGTTTACTTCAGTGTTCAATAACAGAGTCACAAAGGGACTGGGATGACATGGTCTTTTTTTTTTTTTTTTTTTTTTTTTTTTTTTTTTTTTTTTTTTTTACAACTGCCATACAACGGGAAAGAGAAACATCTTCAGGGAGTGAAACGATTGTCTTGGCCAGCTGAGGAGCCCACAGGAATTGTAATGTACACCTTTAATATCACCTTTATAAACCCTTCCTTTAGCCACTTCAGCACAGCATGCTGTTTGACTCCAAGGCTGCTGTCTTTCTGCTAGCAGTAAGAATAAATTCATTTATTGCCTGATGCAGGTTAATATCCAGGAGGATGACGATGTTTTTCTTTGCATTCACCCTCTTATTTAGCTTCTCTAGGATCACTAATTATAGGCTCAATGTCCTTTATTAATGGCTAGAAACCAAATATGAGTGAGTACATCCCATGTTCCTCTTTTTGGATCTGGCTTACCTCACTCAGGATAATGTTTTCTATTTCCGTCCATTTGCATGCAAAATTCAAGAAGTCATTGTTTTTTACTGCTGAGTAGTACTCTAATATGTATATATTCCATATTTTCTTCATCCATTCTTCCATTGAAGGAGACAGAGACAGAGACCCACAATGGAGCACCGGACAGAAATCCCAGGGTCCAAATCAGGAGCAGAAGGAGAGAGAGCACGAGCAAGGAACTCAGGACTGTGAGGGGTGCACCCACATACTGAGACAATGGGGATGATCTATCAGGAACTCACCAAGGCCAGATGGACTGGGTCTGAATAAGCATGGGATAAAACCGGACTTGCTGAACATAGTGGACAATGAGGACTGCTGAGAAGTCAAGAACAATGGCATTGGGTTTTGATCCTACTGCACGTATTGGCTTTGTGGAAGCCTAGGCAGTTTGGATGCTCACCTTACTAGACCTGGAATGAGGTGAGAGGTCCTCGGACTTCCCACAGGGCAGGGAACCCTCACTGCTCTTTGGGCTGATGAGGGAGGGGGACTTGATTGGGGAAGGGGGAGGGAAATGGGAGGCGGTGGCGGGGAGGAGGCAGAAATCTTTAATAAATAAATAAATTAATAAAAAAGAATAAATTCATTTAATCTACATTTGAATTAATTTTAAGTCTTTGGTCTTTTCCAGTGGATTCAAATGCCACAACAGAGGCACCAACTGAGAATCAAGTGTTCACAAAGAGCCAAGCCTATGGGGGAATTTATCCAAACCATCCCATTCCATTCCCTACCCCCCATAGGCTCATGGCAAAATTCATTTATAAAGTCCACCACAGACTTTAACAGTCCCAATGGTGTTGAAAACTCCAAAGTCTCTTCATAATTAAAAGTCTTAATTTTTACCCCTTATAGAATAAAAAAACAACAAATTACATGCTTCCATCATACAATAGCATAGTATATACATTTCCATTACAAAAGGAAAGAATTGGGTATAGTGAGGAAATACTGAATCAAAACAAGATGGGAAGCCAGCCAGGCAAACACCAAATCCTGAAGCTCTGTGTCTGGGCTTTAGTTTCAAAGGATTTAGATGGCTCAGCCCTCATCTTTGCTGCCTGCACTTCTCCCTCTATTTCTGTCCTCCATGTATGCAGCTCTCCTCAGCATGTCTCAAATCTCTGACATGTCCATCTTGGAGTTTCTCCTGAAGCCTCTCTCCAGGCTTCACTTTTATAGCATCATTTAATGGCCTTCCATAGCCTTTCATCTCTGACTCCCCTGGTCACATGCTACCTAGCTTCAGTGGTGCTCTGATATCATGAAGGAAGGATCTACAACCTGTATAGTCTTGTATCCTTCATATCTCTAGAGCCAGCACCAAACCATCTAATTCTGGTGCCAACTTGAGAGAGACTCTTGCCTCCCCTGAATCACATTTCCAGCTGTTTTTGTTTGTTGCTGGCTTTCCTGGAGCAGAAAAAATGCCCTGGGCTTCTCACAAGTTTACAAGTTTAGCTGGATAGGGTTTGGTCCTAAGGGCACCATTCCCTTTGTCTATCTAGCAGAGAGAGAGCAAGCCTCTCTTCCAGAGTGCTAATCTCCTTCAACAATGACAGCCCCCACCCCCAGCATGTACCTCAGTTGCAACACTAAGCTTCTTAGTGTTCAAACTATACTTGTGTTTCTTTCTGCATCATTTGTTCTTTTTCATTGCAAACCTCTGCAAGCATTATCAACAATAACCTTTACACAGACTCAACAATATGCAATTTTTCATATTTTCTCCACCAAAGAACTAGCCTGTTACCTTTTGGGGGGGTGGTTTTAAGGCAGGTTTCTCTGTAACTTTGGGGCCTGTCCTGAAACTCACTCTGTAGACCAGGCTGGCCTTGAACTCACAGAAGTCTGCTTGCCTCTGCCTCCCAAGTGCTGCGATTAAAGGCATGTGCCACACCCAACTGCCTCTTAACTTTTAATTTAGCTTCTGATAAATTCTCAAGACTGTAGAACCCAGCCATGACAAGCTCAAGAGATGTCTGAGTCTCAGTAGTTTACTCTGGTTCCAAGAAAGACAACAAACTGAGAACACTCAGTTTCTCCAGAAACAGACCATCCAAAGGAACTTCCTAACGTTCCAACCATTGTAGATAGGATCACCTGCCAGCACACACCCATCGCTTTTCACCAGGACACCCCGAGACAAATATCAGCCAGTCAGGGATCCTGAAACTTAGAAATCCCTCACCCTAACTGAGAAAAACCCAACCCTAACTGAGCTTGGGGCTCTCTGAATCACTCAATCGTTGAACACACGGAGAGTCCAAGCTTGTAAACTTGTGTAAGAATAAAGGCTCTTTGCTTTTACATAGAGGACTTGGTCTCCTAGTTGTTTTGGGGGGGACTCAGTGATCTAGGCATAACATTGGGAAGGAGTTAGCCAGATTCTTTGCCAAAACACTGTAAGAATGACCTCTAGTCCAGTTGCTGTTACTCTCCTTGCTTCCTTCTAGAAATTCTGGAGCAATTCTACAGCCCTCGTTATTTTCAGCACTAGGATCCTACCACAACAGACAGTTCACAGCTTTATACTGTTGGGTCCCAAGGGCACGTAAATAATAGGGAACAGGCCACCAAAGTCTAGAAACCAGAAGCAAACTTAATTCTAACCACCACGGGGTGCAAAAACCTTTCAGTGTACCGGGGCCCTAGGTCAGAGTTCGGGTTTCTGACACTGGCAATGAAAGAGGTTTTGAGCCACACACCATGGGTCCCGCTGCTAAGGTGCCACTCACACCATACAATGGTACCTGTGACACTTGGCAGGTTCTGTCAGTTCCTCCTGCCTGGTTGTTTTGAGGAGCTACAGGACCCTGTAATCTGCAATCCAGTTAGTGCTTTTCCAACTCAGGATCGCTTAAATTCTACACCCAACACTGACAAACGTGGCAACAATGATAGCCGCCCCCCCCCCCCCAAGCTTCCATGAGTAAGGATTCGCCTCTGGACTATGGTTCCTCTCCTCCCTGCTCCAGTCGAAAGTACCAGTACTGGGCAACCACCTGTCTCTCAGGCTTAGACCCCTTTGGGCCCCCATCCCTGTGTGATGATGTAGGGGTATGGCCCAATCCCCACAGCCCCTGGACCTAGTAGGTGACTACCCAAAGTCAGCTTGAGCCACGGTCCATGCTGAATCTCTGGGACACTGGAGTTCAGTCTCTAGACCTTATCTCTTATCTCACTCGTGGAAACTGCACGCCCACCCATAAATCAAAACCCATAGCCGCTTATTTGCACCCTACCTTCTGCCAGTGATCAGGTAGCTGGAAGTGCAGCCTCGGTTTTTTTTTCCACTTTTTTTTTCCTTTCCCGCCCACACCGCCACACCATCCAGCCTGGGGTGGTGGCACCGGACCCCACCCTGGCCAAACCAGTCCGACTTCAGTTCCCCCTTTGCTCTCTGCCTGGCTGCAGGTTGACAGCACGTGCTGACAAGGTTTCCCGTCTAATTCAGACTGTGAATGGTGTGGCCATTTTAATCTTTTCTGCGTGCTGTATGTCTGTCCTGTTAACTGTGTCTGTTTAAAATTTGCACTTCTTTAAAAAAAAAAACTCATGGTTTCTTAGTGCCTTGCAACATAGGCAGGCACCATCTTGGCTAAGGGCAGGTCAGATGACCTAACTGACGTCTTTGCTATGGTAACCACATGACGTGACAAGCCAGTGACAGGACCGCTGCCCGCTAGCTCTCGCTTGCTGGGATCCCAACCACCTGCCTGCCCCACCTGCAACAGATGTGATTCTTCCACCTGCTAGGAATCTGCGACTTTGATTCTTCACTTTTTTCTTTGCTCCAAAGACCTGCAGACGTCTGTCTGCTCTCTCTTTCTTTAAATACCCTGCCTGCTTGTTACAAAATGTGAGTCAGAATGAAAAAGTCAGCTTCCTTTCGCTCACCTTCCATTTACGTGTGAATGTAAGGCAGCTTTAACTCTGCCTGTGTACCTGTGTATGCAACACAAATTCAACTGTGCACATATGAAACTCTGGTCACTGTCATCGCCTTCTAGACTAAGGAAGCGGTAAGTCTCAAGTATTTTAATTTATATAATCTTAAATAATAAACAGCACACAGTTAGATACTGTCTATGTGATGCATCTCTGCTTTAAAATATATTCTACATAATAATAAAAATTTAAGGTTATAAATATCTATTTCAGATTAACAAAAGCTAACCTAGAAATTTACACTTCCCAATCTTTCTTGTAAGCTGTTCTTCATTATTGCCAGTTTTTACTGTTAAGCTTCAATTCTATTGCAAAAAGTTTTTCTTTACTTCTTTGTCCTTCGCAAGTAAAAAATCTCCCCTGTTAAGTTAAACCAGTTAGAGTCAAGCTGGGTAAAACATTCCTCCACAACTTCTCAGCTTGGATCCAGCTCTCCAGGCAGATCCTATGCTGTAGTCATAACTCATATATATTCAATACACAGCCC